GTCAGAGCCAAGAAAACAACTGCACAAACCTCTAGATCATAACATACCTGAAACCAACTGCAATCACAGGAGCCCTTATAGTCCCTTAACTAACTTCAGCCTGCCTGGCTTAACTCATTCTGTTACTTGCAACTGATACAGAACCTGAGGTTACTCAATTAGCACTGTTGGCCATGGGAGGCAGTAATAGTGCCACAAGCTACACCACTTTTTAATTCCTCTACTCCCCTGTGGGATCTCTTTGCCACCTTAAAGTTTCATCCATTTTACTCACTTTAAAAGTATAAAACGTTGGGAAGAAAATTTGCAAAAATGATTCTACAAAAAAGATAGGTAGGTTCCTGCAGATAACTGGTCTCATTAAGTATGGGCTTCTAAAGGTTGCTGCAATAATCCTGGCTCAAAAGAGAAATGGTAGAGAAGGATGAAATATTAGTATGCGGGGGGGGGGGGGGATATCTTGCCAGTGAAACAGAACAAGAAGTTGGAGAGCACTGTGTTCTGGTCTGCTCTCCTCTCTGTGAGGTGTGTTTGGGGACTTCCCCTCTTCTGGGCCTCAGTTTTCATACCTACAAAGAGGGAGCTAGACTAGATAACTTCCAGTCTTCCATGGGCCAAACGCTATGCTATGAGCTAGCCCAGGGCGGCTCCTCATGCCACTCCCGGGAGGGGAGGCCATAGCGCACTTCCAGGCCACAGGAACTCAGACGCGTGCAGGCTGCTGCCTTCCCTTCCTCTCTGACCGTAAGAGCAGTGGTTCTCTGGAGGAGCAGGACTCTTATCTAAGTCCTTCTCTTTCCTGGCTGACACATACATGAGCTGCAGGTCAACTATATACAAAATACAGAAGCTACTGCAGACACTGCGGGGAGCACTGAACTGCCCCAGACAGACTTCTAACTGCCAAGTTTGCCTTGGGGTTATTTTACACAGTGCTGAGATCCTGATGCTAACTCTGTCCAAGAGCTGACTGTGGACAAGGAACAATTAGCAAGCTAGACGGTTATCCTTTAAATGGGCCTTTTGCCTTCTCACTCCTGATTCCATTACCTGTTAGTTCTGTGTGACTGGAATCAACAGATTAAAGGCTGGACATCTTTAGATTCCAGCACAAGAGAAGGCAGTAGAATACAAACAAACCCTTAAACGGGGCCTCATTACAAATTAGATTGTAGATGACTGGTTGCAGAAACCTTTCTAACACGTTCTTCCAACTCTCAGGAAGCCAGGATGTTATGTAGCACTGGAAAAGCACTAACAGTATCTATTTCCACCATCACAAATGAATCCCAAGGTCATTAACTCCAGTTAAGTGTCGGTGCTGACAGTCTAAGGCCAGGTCTGGGCTTAGTGGGAAGAGACTGATTAGCAACATCTGTCCAGGCCAGGGCGGGGAAGCAGCATTATGATACACATTTGCCGAAGATAAATCCAAGTCCCAGAGAGGCTAAACCACTTTCTTGAGGTCACACAGTGAGTTTAGGGTAAGAGAGAAAGAACTAGAAGCCAAGCCTCCCTTCCTATGAAGGAGTCCCTGCCTCAGTGGGTCTCCTTGGGAAACAGCAGAGGAGGGCAGGAAAAATACAGGGAGGCCAACTCCCTCCTACGGGCATCAGATTTCACCTGGGCAAGCAGACAGAAAAGTGATTAGCTACCTAGACAATCCAGGCCCTCTTTGAAAAATTAAAGAAATCACTGCAGGATACATTTCCGTGGTACTTAACTTTCTGATGGGCAAGGGTCTGCCACCAGGAAGACTGAAAAAGAGAAGCAACAAATATTGATTTCTGGATGCTCTAAGAATAAAGTTCAGCTCTGACACATGAGAAGAACTAATACTTGAAAATGAAAGTCATTGGTATTCCACTGTCCCACCCACTTCTATTCTACAGACGCCATTGTCCAATGGAGTCATTTCTCACCACAGGCTGTGGCTCCAAAATGGGGAAGGACTGCATTGAGTTTCCTACTGTGGGTCTTTAATAACTAGTTCCCAAGCCTGGAATACAAAACAGACTCTAGAATTAAAGCAAGATGTTAAGTAGATTGGGGCTAGGAATGAGAGAGAACCCCAAATTAAACAAAAGATGGCCTCAAAGTTGGCTTTGCTTGCTTGGTTTTGGAACTTTCTGAGAAACCAGCTGACTGACCAGACGAATGTTAAAAATCCCAGAAGCGTTATGTGTCCTTTATAAATGAGATGCCCCACTCGGCTCTAGAGGAACACCCAGGGTGAGCTGGCATGGCAGTTATGAAGGCTCACATTTTAGCAGAGGACAAAAGCTCCTAATGTTAAACTCCATTCTTCAATCCACGGGCAAAATCAAGGAGTTAAAGGACTGCACGGTGGGCAGAAAATTTCTCTCAAACCATAAGGAACATAGTTTTCACTTGGATAAAGTTCTGTCAGAACTCCCTGCAGAGCCTCTGTGGTTATTTCTACCAGAAAGATCAACGAGGTGCTCTGGAAGAGTCCCAACAGCTACGAGAGTGAGAGGTTGAGCTACCTAGTCAGCCCCGTCCAAAGAGCCCTGTGTACTCCAGACAGATCTCCCAAGCAGCAGGCTGACACATTATGTGGGCTGAAGGACTGAACAGCACTACTCCGAAAGTCAGCTCCCCTCCCGAAGGGCCAGCTGACGCTCAAACAAGGCACCAGGGGCCGAGCCCAGGGCGCTGCGTCTGTGGGAGAGTGGAACAGAAAGCGGCTGTGTGGGAATCTGGCAGGATGTTCCTGAGAGGCAGCAGATGAATGCTGAGCCCCGTAGCACCTAGAAGAGCTCATCAGTGGGAAAACAACTCCCTTCTGCTACTCCCAATAGGCAGAGGTTTACCTCAAAGCTAGGACAATCAGTTGACAGAGCCCTCCCCACACACACCCCTTTGCCACTCCAACCCCCTCCTCTTCATGCTATTTCAGAGAAAAAGAAATGAATAAGCACTAGACCTGCCCAGATGAGTCTCTCTGCTCATTTCAGCGAGTGGCTCCAAGCAACATCCAGCTATTGCTCTCCTCTCCCTCTGCTCAAAGGGCTGCCTTATTCCATCAGTACCCTCTTGCACCAGTGAGTAATTTACTTTGAAAGCTCAGGCCAAACTGGCAGTTAACCTTGACCTTCTCTCTACACATCTGGGTGCATAGAAAATGAAAATCAGGATGTCTCTGGCATCTACTGCAATGAAATACGAGGGCTTTCTCCAGGCAGAGGCAGAATATCAAGAGTTATTTTAGAAGTGGCCATGGCTGTTCCGAAGGAGAGTTTGCACTTAGCCAGGACACTCTCCTTCAGGCTGGGGTTGTGTCCAGTATGGCACCCCCAGAGCTAGGGATGCTACCAGGGACTCCACAGAGTCAGGAAAAGGAAAAGAATGGCTCATTGTACTCCTTAGTGATTCAGTGAGAGTATCATAGAATGCCAACACTGGACCAAATTCTCATTTCACAGGAGAAAGTAAGGCCTAGAGGGAGACTGGGGATAACCAAGGACGACGACACAGACAGCAAATTAATGGCAGAGCTTAGGACAGAACCCTGGCCTCCTGACCCTTATGCTGGTACACGGTGGTAACAGATGAAAGAGGTTCTGTGAAAGGAAAACCCACCAGATACAGAATTGCAGGGAGAAAAGTCCAAGTTGGCTGTCACTCTGAAGCCGGAGTTCAGCAAAGGAGTTGGGCCCTTAGTTTCTAAACAGTAAGATCTACTGTTTAGATCAGAAGGAAAGATCAACCAGACCTTCTAAGATGGTTTGCAACAATTTCCAGAGTGACGGGCTGAGCTCCAGTAGATCAGCCCTGTAGCAAAGAGGCCTCTGTGTTCAAGACGCCAGAAGGGGCAGGCAGCAGCCTGATACTGAGAAGCGAAAGGAGAACGGAGAACGAGCAGCCTCAAAAAGTCAGTGTCTTCCCCTCAGGCCAGCCAACCATCAGTCAAGTCTGACCCTGATGCACAAATTACCCACTTCCCGTGGGACCAAGAAATGCCCATAAGGAAACCCAAATGTCCCCCTGTTGGAAGAGTACCAGCAGCATGCATATGCTGGCCAGGAGCTGCAAGAGCCAGTGTGATGAGACAGAGGCTCTATTATCCGGAAGCTGCAAGTCTAAATACACACACACACACACACACACACACACACACACACACACACGCACGCACGCACACACGCACGCACGCACACAGGAGAGGCACCAAACGCACCAACTATGAAGATCCCAGTTTTGGCCACAAGAAGCACTACATCTGATCAGCTCAGAAAAGACAAGGAGGGCATGTGGCGTTCCATCCTCAGGACCCTGGGCACCATTAGCTCTGGAACACGTCGAGGGTCCATCCACCACCCGGATGTCCAGAGGGTCAAAGGGGGCAAGTTCCTCAAGGTGCAGCAGCTCACCCTAACCCACCCTCAGGGGCCAGAAGCTCCAAAGGAAGCAAGATCTCTGAATCCCAGGGAAGGCACAGGACCTGATCAAGGAACGGGCTGGGGGAGGGGGGGGGGAAGGGGACAGGAGAGCCGTCCCTGCGCAGATGGCAAACAGGAAAGGGACGGACCTGGGGGGCACACACCAGGATCAGCAGGTAGGAGGGGGTGCAGAGAGAATGTGGCACCAAATAGAAGCGCCAGCCTCTCCATTCCGGTCCGCAGGAGGTATCTTCCTGGGTCACAGGGATGCAGGTGGAGAATTGTGGAAGTGGAAGAGAATATCAGAAGGCAGACAGAAAAAAAAAAAAAAAAACAGGAGGGTAAAATATGATAAATAGAGCCCCGGACTGAGCACCCGGAGTCCTGCGTTCCAGTTTTGGCTCTGTCTCTGACTGGAACGGGATCCTGGACAAGTCCCTATCCTTCTCTGAGCCTCAATTTTTCCAATCCGCAGAATGGGAAAAGCAGACTCTTCGGCGCTGCCTCTGACGAGACTGGAGAGGCAGAAGAAGGATCCGCAGGCTAGAAGTGAATTCAAGGAAGGGAGGCCCCAACCTGGGCAACTGAGGCGCTCACCTGTCCGGCCGCTGGGGCCACCGCCGCCCCGGGTGCCCCTGGGGTGCCGTCGGGCTGCCGCTCACGGTACAGAGCCCAGAGCCCCACGTTGGGCAGGAGGACTAGGGCCGCCAGCACCAGCGCGGCCGCCTGCAGGAGCCGCTTCTCCTTCCGCCTCATCGGGGTCGGTCAGCCCCGCCGCGCCCGGCCGGCCCCGCCGCGCCGCCCTCAGCTCCGCGCGTCCGCCCGTCCGCCCGGCGGCGGCAACAGTCCGACGAGCAGAAGCGGCCGCGGCGCCGGCCCCGCTCCAACTCCTCGGCACTTCCGCCGCTCACAGGCCGGGGAGCCGGGCGCCGCCACCGCGCCGCCGCCGCGGGGGAGACGCCGCCGCCGCCACCGCCGCCCCCGGGCCTCCCCGGCCGTGCGTCCCGCGCTGCCCTCCCCTGAGCCCGCGGCCGGTCTCGGGGCGCCGCTGGCCTGGGTCTTCCCGCCGCGCGTCCCCGTCCGCCCGGGTGCCCTGGAGTCCCGAGCCGCACCGCCTCCCCCTCTCGGTGGCGATGGTGCGTCCCGCTCCTCGGCGGCTCCCCCGCCCGCTGGAGCTTTGCGAGAGTCCGGAGTTGGGGAGTTGGGTGCTAACCGGTGAGGGCTGCGCGCCGGCGGGCCGGGCGCGTGTGCGCGCGAGCCGGGGCGCGGGACCAAGCGCCCGGGGGCCGGGCCGCCTCCAGTGCGGACCACGGCCCGGGGCTTTCGAGCTCCCCGGGGATATGCACACAGCGAGAGAGCCCGGCCAGCGCCTGCAGCCCAGGCTGTGGCTTCCCACTCGCCCGGCCCGGGACGGGAGACCCGCTTCGACCCCGCAGGGTTCTCGGCCGCAAAGTGGGGCCGTCGCCGTGCTCTGCGCAGGCCCCCGGCGGCCCCGGACGTGAGGTGCGAGTGAACCCCCGGTGTAACCGTGGAGGGCCACCTGCCAGCTGTCCCGCTCGCGCGCGCGCCGGCCCCGCCCGAAGGCCTCTGGTCTCCCGTGTGCCGCCGGACGCCGCGCCCCGTGCCCTTCCCACAGCCTCCGGACTTTCTCGGCCTGACGGCTGGGAGCTGAAGCATTAGACGCGCGATCCGCCGGTCGGGGGTCGCGTGCAGAATCGGGGTGCCCGGGCGCGGGGGGCGAGGCTCCCCCGGGGGCGCCGAGTGCGCTGTTTGGCGGCTCCCTCCCTGCCGCGCGGGGACCGAGGGTCCTCTTCGCTGCCCTCCCTCTGCCACCCCCACGGGCGCCTTGCTTGTTCTCCGCTTCCCCGGTCGCCCGCGCTGGCCTCCGGGTAGGCGCCGGCCCCAGGCCCGCGAGCTGAGGACGCCTGCTCCCAGCTGAGCGGCGAGAGCTCCGTTTTGGGGGCTGACATCTGGGGCGAGCCTTCGGCTCCAGGCCGGCCCTGCCTTCTGTCCGCCCCGTTGCTGATGTTGTTTCCCTGTGTGTTGACCACGCAGGTCCTGCCCCCAGTAATCAGTCTCCTCCTCATCTAAATCTGGAAATCTTTTTCACCCTCCATGTCTTGTTGAATTGCCACCTCCTCCAAAAGATCCTCTAAAACTCCTCTTCGGGACTTGCTTACTTTCCTTATATTTCTGTCCAAGTAATGCTTTATCAAATCCCAGTGCTTACTCAACTCCCTCCAGTGGCATTGCAACCCCCCCCCACCGGCCCAGTTCCCTACAAGGAACGATGGGATTCCACACAGACACAGACCATCAGCCCTCACCCCTAACTCCGCATTGTGCTGCAGCCATGTTAGCCTCTGTGCTGTTCCTCAGAGCACGCCAGGCACATTCCTGCCTCAGGATCTTTGCACTTGTTACTTCTGCCTAGAATGCCCATTTGTCTATTTTTAGATTCTAGCCTTGTGTCTTTTGAAAAAAAATTTTTATTGTGCTAAAATAAACATAAAATCTAACATTATAACCATTTTAAGTGTATAGTTTCGTAGCATTAAGTAATTCACATTCTTTTACAGACATGACTATCCATCTCCACAACTTTCTCCACATCCCAGACTGAAATTCCATATCCGCTAAACACTAACTCCTCATTCCTCCCCTCCCCTCCCCAACTGCTGGCAACCACCTTGATTCTTTGCTTTATGAATTTGAGTTTTCCATGTACCTCGTATAGGTGGAATCTTATAAGTGTCCTTTTGTGCCTGGCTTATTTCACTTATAATACTTGCGAGGTATGTCCATGTTGTCGCGTGTATCAGAATGCCATTTTCTTTTAAGATTGAATGATATTCCGTTACATGTGTGCACCACATTTTGTTTATCCATCCATTCCTGGACATGTGGGTTGTTTCTACCTTTTGGCCATTGTGAATAATTTTGCTGGGAATAGCCTATGTCTTGCGTATGTGGCAGTTGATGTACAGTATTTATGTATTCAGGTGATGCTACAGAATTCTTTCCTGTGCCTCCATAACCCTGAGTGTGATGCTGGAGGGCAGCTAGAGTGACGCCTCTATAAACCACGGTTCGCTACTGGTTCTCTCTCACCTGTGGCTTCCTAGCATATTAGGATAATCTAGGACAGTGCTTACTATAGCCCACGAGTGTGCGACCAGACCCTACTTCTAACTTTTGCCTTTCCTCTTGCCCTCTGTTGCACTGGTCTTGCTATCTTCCTCAGATACACTAAGTGGATGATGACCTCAGGGCCAAACCTTTGCCCGGTTCTCTCCATTGTCTCAGGAGCCAGATTGGTCCTGTCTCAGCGAGAACTATCCGGACCGCCAGACATGAGCACCCCCATCATTTCCATTTGCTTGATTTTTCTTTGGAGCAGTTCTCATATTTTGTCTCCCCTTGGTCTCTACAGTGTAAGTTCCAAGCAAGCAGGCGCTAGGTATTTCTTTATACCCCCTTCTTTTTTGGGGGTTACTGGGGATCAAACTCATTTCCTTGCGCTTGCAAGGCAGGCGGTGGAACCACTGAGCTAAATCCCTGGCTGTACCCCCTTCTTCTGTCAGCACATACTTCATTTTTTTGTTAATTAGAAAACTGGCATTCCTTTCAGGTGGAAGAATTTGCAAAGGGTTCTACCTTTCCCTGAGCCAGAGCAAGGCAAAGACAGGGGATTCCGCCTCATGCTCTTCTTAGCCATGTGAAGCTGAACTTTGGTCCTCCTAGTTACTGTGTGAGTCAGGTACAGCCCTTAAGGTCATGACAGGAAAGGAAATATCCAGGGTCTCTTTCCTTCTCACCCCTCTTCAGCTCCCTGGAGGATTCTGCCGGAAGTTGGATTTGAGCTTTTCCTCCTGCCTTACCATAGTCACTTGTTGATCAAAGCTGCATGCCAGCCAATCTGCCCCCAGTGGGGACTCCAGCCAGAGAAGCCAGCTTTAATCCTAGGGCTCTTTGATCACCTTCTACAGTAAGGGCTGCACCAGGCAGGGGGAGGGCGCCTGGGGCTTTATCCTGCTCACGGAGACAATGCCATCTCCTGAGAAAAGCTGAGCTGGTCTCTGAAATTGAACAGCCAGTGTTACTTTCACACTGTGCCTTCCTACTAGGCCTGTTCTGTGTATTAAATGAGATAATGCACTTAAAGGGCTTACTGCAGTCCCTGGTCTGATGGAAGCCCTAGTAACAAAGGGAGAAATAAAATCTCAACACCAAAAGGAGCACTGAAGATGAATGCACAGGATTTCAGCTGCAGGGCAAACCCTCTGCTCCAACCTGCACCTCTCTGATCTAATCTATCACCACCCTTCTCGTCCACTCCACACCAGCCACGGATACCTTCATCCTAGTCTTTGAGTGTCCTCTGCACATTCCAGCCCTGAGACCTTCACGTTGGCTGTTGTCGCTGGCAGCTGTTTCCCCAGATCTTCCTCCCATTGCTGGCTTCTGCGCATTGTTCAGGTCCCTGCTTAAATGTCATTTCTTCACAGAGGCCCTGTGAAAAGCATTCTCTCTGCACTGTCTATCTTGCTATGCTTTCTTCATCGTGCATGTCCCCTTTCTTTGCCGTAGTCTAATCTATGTGCTTATTTACTTGTTTATTATTGGACTTCTCCAAATAGACTCTCAGCTGCACTGGGCAGATGTCTCATCTGCTCATTCGCTGCCGTAGCCCTACATTGTGACATATTTGTGCCTGATACATGCAAAAGGATAAAAACATGCGTTTGATGAATGGTGAGTATATCTCCCCTCCTCTCTTCTCCCTATTTTCCCATCTTTTTTTTTTTTCCAAGCTGCATATTCTCTGCCTTACTCATCCTTCAGTTTTCTATCTTGTCATTGTCTACCAGAGGAGAAGTGACAGGAGCAGGCTTCATCCTCCCCACTGAGGATGGAACAGCTTTCCTATTGGAAGCCCTCACCTTGGCTTTCCTAGGGGCCCTTGTGGTGGCGGACCTGTCAAGGACTGTACCCTCAGGCTGGTCTGGCCAAGCCCTGAGCCAAGGCTCAGCAAGTCAAGAGCTTTTGACATCATTCATTCTAATGTTCTTTAATGTTGGTCAAGTCCTGTAACTGCTCTGAGCCGCCATTTTCTCATCTGCAAAAGGAGGATGGTTCCAGGACTGTAGTGTCCAGGCTGGAGAGGAAGAGGTTGGCTTGACCAAAAGCAAAACCTCGAAAGCTGTACGTATTGGTTTTCTGTGTCTCCTGCCAGCCTAATTCCTCCTACTTCTGCCCTTGGGGATCACCACGCCCAACTGACACTTTCTCAGAAGACTGATCTCCCTGCATAGATGAAGCTCCCCCATTTTATGACCTCTTAGCAATGCCTTTCCTTACCTTCGAAGTACGGATTTACAGTTGCTGGGTTATTGTGTGATGTTGTTCTCTCCCACTGAGTTGTAAGTCCCATGACACAGACTATGTTTAGTTTTTGGTACTTCTTGCTCCTTTTTCATAGGCTTTATTTTTTAAAGCAATTTTAGATTCATAGCCAAGTTGAACAGAAGGTAGGAGATATCCCCCACCACACATGCTACATTTGTTACAGTTGAACCTACATTGGCACTCATTATCGCCCAAAGTCCATCGCTTCCATTAGGTTTGACTCTCGATATGGTAAGTTGTGTAGCATGGACAAATGTAAAATGATGTGTCCACCTTTACAGAATTATACAGAGTAGTTTCGCTGCCCTAAAAATCCTGTGCTCGCCTGTTCATTCTTCCCTGCCTCCAGCTGATCTTTTTACTGTCTCCATAGTTTGCCTTTTACAGA